TATGGGTTCAATCAACCATCAGGTTTGAATACCACAGGCCCCTCAACCATTGGGTTGGAATGCCAACATACTATGGGTCCAATCATCCTCGGGATGGAATACCCTAGGCCCTCAACCATCGGGTTGGAATGCTCTGGCCTGCTGGCTTACGCACAAAGCAGTGAAGCCTCAACCACCAACCAAACACGTGCACATATAACAGTCTATAGCCACTCAAATAAATCTACATATCACTAAGCATAACAACATATTATCTAATAGGATACTAATGTAACGGATCACAACAACACAAATAACATGCATAACAAGATATTAATCTAATGAGTCGGCATTGGTGCCTTCGACACGTAAGAACAGTGAGGAAAACTCACCTCAAAAGCTGAACAGAACTGATAAGGCCTGACTCCGAAACTCAGATCTCAACCCAAAATCCTATAACCACCAAGTGATAAATTCCATCAAAATCCGAACAATACCCAAAATACCCTCAAACTTGGTCAAACATGGTCAAACGTAAAGTTAACTGGTCAAAGCCCATAAGCCCACTGAGTTAACTCAACATGGGATGAACCATGCGACTATGCGGGGCATACTCCCACCTACACGGGGCGTACCCTCGCAAAACACATAACTTCATTAAGTGCTTAATGGTTTAAGCACTTAAGCCCAAACTTTAGATCCAAGGTCCAAATACACCCTAGAGTCATAAAGTCTCCAACTTTATGGCTTTACGCATCCAAAAAGTCCTTAATACATGGTCTTAATTCATTAAGACGTTCCTCAAGATGCATGAGAAGCTTCTATCCATTAGGACCTCATTTTTATGACTAAGGACCGCTCCAAGGGTCAGAAAGGACAACTCAAAACATCCACAACATGCCATACTTAAGATGAAGCATTTGGGACCAAAAAGAAGCATAAAACACCCGATAAAGAGATCTAGCAAACAAGTCATCAAGGTTTGAACTTTATAACTTGGAATGATGGAGAAAAGGGAAAAACTTCCAGATCCAAGCCTTTCTTCAAGATTCCAAGCTCCTTGATACAACTTCTTCTTCCTTGAACAAACCAACAACACACTCCTTAGCTCAAAAAACACTCACTAAGGGTTAGGGTTTGCCAAAGACGACTCAAACGGTATGGAGGCTGAAACTATGGGGTGAAATGAGCCATAATGATGCTTATATGCAACCCAAACCCTAAAAATTATGGTTTTCTCCTGACAAGAGTACGCCCTAAGTACATAAGTGTACGCCCATCGTACCCTCATGTACGCTTAGCGTACTCATCCTGCTCAAATTACCAAAAAGCCACAGGGCTTCAAGGCTAATTGTCATAGACTTAGGGACTGAAATGCCATATAACAAAACCATATGGATGAATTTAGATTTACCTGAATCTCGTGATGTTAAAACTATCCCCCACTTGAAATAGACATCGTCCTCGAAGTCTGATGCAATGAACAAATCTAGATAATGCTCCCACATCTCAGCCTTTGGCTTCTAGGTACACTCAAAGCCCGTCCGATGTTACCACATTACCTTCACCATAGGTACTTCCTTGTTATGAAAAACCTTTACCTTCCTTTCTAGAATAGCTACTGACCTCTCCACATATTTAGGCAACCTGAATATCATCCAAGGAACCCACTTTATCCTCATCCAACACGCACTTTCACAGCTGAGAAACATGGAAAGTGATGTGAATCTAACTGAGATCCTCAGGAAGATCCAATCTGTAAGAAACCTTGCCAACCTTGGAAATAACTCGAAATGGCCCAATATATTGGGGATCCAATTTCCCCACTTCCCGAAGCGAATCACACATTTCCAAGGTGAGACTTTCAGTAACACCATGTTGCCGACCTGAAACTCCAACTCAGATTGGCACCGGCCGACATAGCTATTCTGCCGACTTTAAGCAGTCTACAAACTCTGTCTGATCTGCTGAATCATCTCCGTAGTCTGAAGGACCATTTCGGTCTGCCTCATAATCCTACCTCAACAAACTGAGGTACAACATCTCCACCCATACAAAATCAATGACACATGTTTGCAACATATCCTCAAGGTTTTGAATCGTCCACTCACTCTGACTGTTGGTCTACAGATGATAAGTTGTGCTGAAGTGCAACCTCGTGCCTAGTTCCTCACTGAACTTCTGCAAAAAACGGGAGGTGAATCGAACATCACGGTCTAAAACAATGGAGACCGTAACCCCATGGTGAGCAACGATCTCGCGAATATACATATCGGCCAACTTCTTGGTTGAAGAACTCTCCTAAATCACCAGGAAGTGGGCACTCTTGGTCAATCGATTCACGGTGAACCAGATAGCATCGAAACCCTTCTCCATCTTCAATAACTTAGTGACGAAATCCATCGAAATCTACTCTAATTTCCACATGGGAACCTCCAGAGGCTGCAGCTTGCCATACGGCCTCTGATGCTCAGCCTTAACCATCATGTTGGTCATGTATCTCTCCATGTATCAGACTATTTCCCTCTTCATACACCTCCACCAATAGCTCAATATCAAATCCTGATACATCTTGGTGGCCTCCGGATGGATAGAAAAACAAGACTTATGAGCCTCCTTCAACACAATTTGTCCGACCCCACCAGATATAAGAACCCATACTCGATCACAATGGGTCAACAATCCATGACTATTCATAACAAATATGGCGATCTCACCCCTGATCCTCTCTATCTTCCAGTTCTATTCCCAAACACCCTCGGCTTGAGCCTCCCTAATCAATCCCAAAAGCGAAGAATCTAGTGATATCCTCATACACGATACCTCGTTTGAATACCCAGCCAACTTGCAACTCAAAGCATTTGTTACCATATTCGCTTTACCCGGATGGTAAAGGATCTTATAGTCATAATCATTGACTACGTCCAGCCACCTGTGCTGCCTCATTTTTAGGTTCAGCTGATCCATAATATGTCTCAAACTCTTGTGGTATGTGTAGATAGTATAACGGACCCCATAAAGATAATGTCTCCAACTACAGATCATGTGTGGGGTACCTCGTCTCGTGCGACTTCAGCTACCGCAAAGCATACGCTATCACCCGTCCTCTCTACATGAGGACCGCCCCCAAACTAGTGATGAATACAAAAAAAATCCTTAATTCCCTCTGGGATGGTCTAAATCGAGGACTCGTACAACCTCTTCCAAAGGGTCTCGAATGTTGATTGTTGCTTAGGGCCCCATTGGAAATACACCCCCTTCCTCATCAGACGAGTGAGGGGTACTGCAATCTTGAAGAAATCATGAATGAATCTCCAATAGTACCCTGCTAAACCCAAGAAACTTCTAATTAATTATATGTAACCCTCTCAGATTCGGGCTAATCAATTTAAAGAAAATAAGCATCAAATTATAACGAATAAGTTATGACATATCGAAGTTTTACGGCCAAATCGACACGACACCGGGAATCATAAAAAGTGAATTTTTGATAAACTAATTTTTTAGCGTTAGAGATCTAAATGAAAGTTGTAGTATACATTAAACTGAGGGCATGCATAAAAAGAACGTCAAAATTTGACTTCGTATGAGGAAGTTATGATTTTTCTAAGATTTTGCATAGAAGTGCACAACTCGGAAATCAAATTTTAGATCGAGCGATTTTTAGCCGAAACAACCTAAATGAGAATTGAATATCTCATTTATAGGAGTTCAATGATAAAAAGATAGTCGAAAACAGATTCCATATGTAAAAGTTATGAATTTTACACGGTCGTTAACAGTGTAATCTTCTCATACTGTTAAATTTAAAATTGGTTGAGAATTAGCTGATGGAGTCAAAAGGAGAGTTGTAGATATTGGCAATACCTATGCATGGATATAAAGAACATCTAAAATGGAGCTCATATGCAAAAGTTACAGAGTTTAGAAGTCAGAAGGGTGTTGTTGCGAAGTGGTTGACGTGGCGCAATCTGAGCCATTACTTTCTCCCCACGCCTTGTCACTCGATGGTGACATGTGGCACCAACTCGATGAGTTGGAGGCCAAAACTCTACGAGTTTGACTCAATTCCAGCTTATAAATACTATGCAAAAGTGCCTTCATTTTTCACACCAAAACCCCTTCACTTCTCTCTCTAACTTCTCTCTAAGCCTCCCAAACCCTCCCAAAGCCCTAGTAACCTCAAGGTGCTAGAGTAAAGCACCGTAGCACCCGAAGGATTTGAAAAAAAAAACTTTTCGGCTTGGAAGTTCTGCCCCCCGTAGATCTCGGTTCCTCGCTAAACTCCCTGTAAGTTGAGTTATGCTTACCGTACTTTAAGTATAACTTATGTTCAAGTTCATTATCGTTATTGTGAACCTATAAACAAGATTTATCAGTGATTTCAATGACTCGTTCTTGGTTTTAGTGCAATTTACCCTGATGATGGGATCATGTTTTGATCTAGGAGTCAGAACTTCTCCAAACTTCTTTTAGTAGATCATGTCATTTAGATCAGAAACCCTGTGTTGTTTGGCCACATTATTGTTGAACAACTGAATATTCTTGTTTTGAACATCAGCACTTTCATTATTGGAAGCAAGAGTCTAAATAAGTTTAATAGACCGGCGTTCATCTTTTCTGGCTCGAACGGAGGCGTTATGCTCCATAATAATTTCTATGACTTCCTCATCAGTTAGTTTCCATTCATTAGCTAAATCTTCCAGATCAACAGTAAGCTTGCTTTTCTTGGAAGGAGGAGGGTTTGAAGAATCACCAACAGCAGAAGAGCTTCCAGCTTCAGTGTCATTCCCCCCCCCCACCCCACCCCACCCCTTCTAAGAAGGAAGCCTTCCTCTTTATAGGATTTATTTCTTCATCATCAGACTCTATGCCACTATTGGTTCATTGAGGAATCTCCCCTTAAAATATGAATCAGGGTAAAAAAACACTTAAAGGAACAACAACTTATACCATAAACCCTATATCAAGAAACCTTCATACTCATCAGTCTCAGATTGATCACCAACATCTGGGATAGGTTAATCATTATTTGTTGCATCAACATCTGGGATGTTTCTCTCTTGTTCTGCTACGATGATTTCCTTTTGATTATCATCCCTTCCTGATTCATACATTTCAGGCAGATATGGAGTTGTTGCAGTCACCATTTTTTGATAATTGCTCTCTTGACTATTCTCCCCCTTTTTAGCATCATTCGTTTGGGTAGGGGAGCCAGATGATGGAAAAGGAGTGTGAGGAGGAGGATGAAATGGAGGAGGAGGAGGTGGATGAGGATTTGATGATGGAGGTGGAGGTGAAGGATTATCACCTGGAGAATTTGGGGGAGTATCTTCAGTAAACATATAATCATCATCATCACCCAAGGTTATAAAGTGTTTTATTTCAGCCACATCCTTTTCTACTTTAGTTAATCTTTCTCCCAGAGATTGAGTTATCTGCACCAATAAAGATATTTAAGAGAGAACAGTAGTTTCAAAGTTGGAAATGGATTCCCCCTGATAAATAGAAGTTGTCTAAAGGGGAGTTTGCATTAGAGGAATAATTACAGCTTGAGGGGAAGGAGATGTTGAGTTTGGAGGATTCAAATCTTGAATCAGTGGATCAGTAGTTTCCATTCAAGATGGGGTTGATCCATGCTATACAATATCATCTCTAGGTGGAGTGAATAAAGAATTAGAGGAGATCGAATGTGTTTTCTTCGAAGAGAATTCATTCCTTGAACAATGGCTTCTCCTTTATCAGTGGTAAGTTCATATTCAACATCTTCTTCATCATTAGTGTCTTCTTCATTATCAGTGCCTTCCTCGTTATCTTAACCATCATTCTCATTTTTCTCTTATTCAAAGTCAGATGATTCACCAGTGTAGGGATTTGCAATCTAATTTGCCATTTTCTGGGTAATATGCTTATCTCCATCAGAAGGAGCAGCATTGATGATCTTTGAGGAGAGGCCATGAATAGGAATGATGGTTCCGTGACTGATACTGTAAACCTCTTCATTATGATCCAAGATTAGACCAAGCCAACGAGGATAAGGAACATATGATGACTTCTTTCCCCTAGTGATACATTCAATCAATTAATCAAGAAAAAGTTGAGGAAAGTCTAGTCTTTTGTTGCACACCATGGAAACAAAAAATTTTGCTCAAATATATTCAATTAATCTAAGCTCCCAATTTTGAGTCCAATGCATTCACCAATTACCCTTGATAGGTACTTCCACCCAACACCATAACACTAATGAAGCGTGTATTTGATTAGAACATGAGTGGTGCCGTGAAGGGAAAATTTATACCTTAATGTTGCATGAATGGACTTCTTTAGAAGGAATTTCATAATAGTTTTCTAATCGAGGAATATGAAGAGCAGTTCAAAAGATTCTACATTGATAGTAACCCTAGATTAATCATCACCAATGGTTCTGGTAATGGTTTGAGCACTGGTATCAACAGAGGAGGAATAATAGAATTCACATACTTGCTTAGCATAGAATGGCTCTGGGTAATCACAGAAGGCATATCGAAGAGGGAAGCTTTTGACATAGTTGATGAATTCTTAAATTCTTGAGTTCATGAACTGTTTTGGGACAACATTAGAGAATTCCACATTGTTTTCTTGAATGACAATGGGAGAATTAGGGGCATGAGGTCCATTGACAACATTGGCGATAGGAGAAAACTCGTGGAATGATGAGAGCTTGAGGATGACGATGATTGAGAAACCCATTTTCGAGAGAGAAAATCAATTTCTTAAGTGAATCGTGAAAATGGCCTAGGAGAGAATTTTCCTAATTTATTCGTAAATTTTCCTCCCTTTTACGTAATCAAGATTGAAAAGATCAGCATCGTAAAAATCTCATAACCTGAGATATTGATAAATCTTTTAATCGTCATCTAAAAGTTACCTGTGAGATATAGGAGTTACATCAGTGAGACATAGCATCATCATCAATAGAAATGAGTGGAAGCGATCATCATATCAAAGTTTTAGTTGGTAATCCAGTGAGTTTGTGATGTCTCATGATAGTATGGGTTTAAACTACCATTCACTAACATAGATAAAGGATGAATTAGAACTTCGTCTATGGATTAATCCTGATTATTAATTAGGATTGTTATTGGATTATGATTAGTGTGAGGAGTTGTGTTAACAACATCTCATGTGTGCAATCTAGTTATCTTCAGTTAAAGGTGAGTCTTCTTACCACACTAGCGGGTCGAAGGCACCAAGGTCGGCCTACTGATTTGTATGTGTAGAATGTATGCCATTATGTGACTATTACTTATGTGATTATATGATATATATATATATATATATATATATATATATATATATATATATATACACACACACATACACATATAAGGTTGCAGAACTCGTTACTCGGTACCTGTTTGGCCGACTACCGAGTAGCGAGTACCCGGGAGTACTCGGATTCGGTAATTCATGTAGAAATACTTTTAGGGTAATTATATATGTCAAAATCATAAGTTAGAATCATAAGTTAATTGAAATATATAACAAAATTAGGTACATGTGAATACACAAAAGCTAAAAAAACACATAATGGTATCACTTTGTGAATAATTACTGAAAATTTAAGATATATATGATGGGTTTTGAGCATTCTAACACTTCCTAAGTGTACACGCAACCCTAATAACCTTGGATCTATGTTTGTCTAATTGTCATGCAAAGTTGAATTCCAAGGTTATATTCCTATCTAGTATACACGGGGAACAATTTTAACATAAAGTATAGATAGAATAACTTACCTTGTTGTTGCTTGTGTTCCTTGAAACCTTGTGAGCCTAGCACCCCAAGTGTGATGCCTCAAATGCTTCACACAACACCAAATGCTCTTGGAAGAACTTATGAGAGAATACTCACTTCTTCAAAATCGGCCAAGCCCTCTTGATTCTTAGTGTAGCCGATTTTGGGTGGAGAATATGTTACTTATATAGTGTTGACACATCTAGGGTTAAACCCTAATGTGTCATGACTCTTCATTTCCATGACCCATGGGTTTGTAACTCCCATGGAGCATCCATGGAGCATCCTATGGGTGGAACCCAACTTGATAGTCCATGGAGCCTTTTAGCCCACTATACAAGATATGGATGATTTACATAATCAACCCATATATTTAATTAGTTATCTTTTGATCACTTAATTAATTCTAAATTAATTCTTGATCAAACTAATCAAATAATATTATTAATATATTAGAACTTATAATATATTAATAATCTCCAAGTGTTATTTCTCTCATTTAGTCTATCCAATTGCATGGTGCCATGCAACCCAAATGGACCATGCCGGGTCGGGTCAAGTACATACCAGAAATAGTTATGGACTTAGACACCTTATCCAACAGTCTCCCACTTGGATAAGTCTAATAACTATTACTGCAAGTATGACTTCAGGAACCGATCGGCAATCGTAGCTCTTTCAAGGTTTCTCGAAACTGAGAAGATGATGGTACGCCATTTAAGATAAGTGATCATATAATCCTCTGTTCTAGATATCAGTCGGACAAATACATGGAACAATGTCTTACTTATTGTCCAACATTTGTTTCCCGATTTCCGATTTGTTTGACAAAGAACTTCATTGAACACATCAATTTAGTTCTGACCGGGCCCGGTACATAGGTCAAAACAAAATCATCGAGGGGCCCAGATATCAGCTTCTAATCCAAGAAGGAACAGATAAACTTCGACTCATATGTTTGTTCTACTACTCATTGAATTACACACAAGAGCACGATTTTATAACATCGAGTTACCAATGCGTTTTTCGTACAATCAATGCATAACCAACTTGTAAGTAACAAATCATATCTCTAGGTTTAAAGACTTATATGATATTACCGTCTCACGATCACTCGAGATAGAATTCCATGAAGTGATTCCAGTGAGCGTGGGTTGAGTCCAATGCTCAGAACTTATGAGCACTCATGATTGTTGTAGCCTTGTCCCAGACCTCTACAACCAAACATGACAGTCTTGATTCATACCTACTTCCGACATATGACCGACTGTGGAGGTTTGAATAATATGTTATACCAAACAAAATTATTCTGGAAGTCAAAACATGCAAAAGAAATATAGTAAACGATCGACAAGAGATAGCAACACTTTACTCATAAATAAAACACTTTTATTCATCATCAAATGTCAATTACACTTTACAAATTTCGAGGTTATCTAACTACTAAATCTAATATCATCCTTCAGCCCTATGCTCCGAGCATGCTGGAGATGCTTAACCCGAGTCAGTCCCTTCGTGAGGGGATCTGCCGGATTCTCATCTGATGATACCCTCTTTGCCACGAGGAGTCCTTCTTCGATCCGATGTCTGATGAAATGGTATTTTCTGTCGATGTGTCTGGATCTCCCGTGATCCCTTGGTTCCTTGGCTAAGGCAACAGCACTTTCACTATCACAGAAAATTTCCATTGGCTCTTTAATAGCTGGTACAACTCCAAGGTCTCCAATGAAGTTCCTCAGCCATAACGCCTCCTTTGCCGCCTCGCTAGCTGCAATATACTCTGATTCACAAGTAGAATCTGCCACTGTCTCTTGCTTGGAACTCTTCCAAGAAATTGCTCCTCCATTTAGGGTAAAGACCCAGCCCGACTGAGAGCGGAAGTTATCCCTATCAGTCTGGAAGCTAGCATCACTATACCCTACAACTCTCAAGTCATCACTCCCACCGAGGGTAAGGACCCAGTCCTTAGTCCTTCGTAGGTACTTGAGAATATTCTTTACCGCAGTCCAGTGTGCCTTGCCAGGGTTCCCCTGAAACCTGCTAACCATGCTCAAGGCAAAGGCTACATCAGGTCGAGTACACGTCATAGCATACATGATCGAACCTACAGCCGAAGCATAAGGTACTCGACTCATTTCTGCTATCTCAGCCTCAGTGCTAGGGCTTTGTGTCTTACTCACTTGGCGCTACTCTGGATGGGCAACTCTCCTTTCTTGGAGTCTTGCATTCTGAATCTCTTCAGAACCTTCTCCAAGTAGGTACTTTGACTAAGTCCAATTAGTCTTTTACTCCGATCTCTCAAGATCCTTATCCCCAAAATATAGGCAGCTTCACCAAGGTCCTTCATAGCGAAACACTTTCCAAGCCAGGACTTTACTTCCTGCAGGGTTGGAATGTCGTTTCCTATGAGTAGTATGTCATCCACATACAATACCAAAAAGCTAACTATACTCCCACTAGCCTTGACATATACACAAGATTCATCTTCACTCCTAGAAAAGCCAAATTCCTTGACCTTTTCATCAAAGCAAAGATTCCATCTGCGAGGTGCTTGCTTTAATCCATAAATGGATTTCTCAAGCTTACACACTCTATTAGGGTACTCGTTGCTGACAAAACCCTCTGGCTGACTCATGTAAACATCTTCAGCCAACTTCCATTAAGGAAAGCGGTTTTGACATCCATTTGCCAAATTTCATAGTCATGAAATGCGGCTATGGCTAACAGAACCCGAATAGACTTAATCTTGGCTACCGGAGAAAAGGTCTCATCATAATCCACTCCAGGAATTTGAGAGAAGCCCTTTGCAACCAGTCTAGCCTTATAAGTGTGTACTTTACCATCCATGTCGGTCTTCTTCTTGAAGACCCATTTGCACCCTACAGTCTTTCGACCTGGTACATTCTCAACCAAGTTCCAAACTTGATTGTCATACATGGATTGTATCTCGCTATCCATAGCCTCTTTCCATTTAGCAGACTCGGGGCCTGCCATGGCTTCCTCGTAGCTGTTAGGGTCATCTTGACTTACTAGTGTCTCATCACTAATAAGTGTCTCACCTTCTGCAGTAATATGGAATCCATAGTAATGCTCAGGTGCACTCCTAACTCTCGTGGAACGCCTCAGAGGTACAGATTCGTCAATTGGCTCAACAGGAGTTTCCTCCTCAAGTTGAGGGCTAGAGTTTGAAGTTCCTTCACCACTTGACTCTTGAATTTCTTCAAGATCAACTTGCCTCCCACTGTCTCCTTGGCTTATAAACTCTCTTTCTCGAAAGACTCCTCTTCTTGCTACAAAGACCACATTGTCACTAGGTCTGTAGAAGAGGTAACCAAAGGATTGCTGTGGGTAGCCGATGAAAATACACCTCTCGCTTCGGGGTTCGAGCTTATCATGAGTCTCGCGTCTCACGAAAGCCTCGCACCCCAAATCTTGATGTGGTCTAGTTTAGGTACTTTACCAGTCCACATCTCGTGAGGAGTTTTGGCAACTTTCTTTGTAGGGACTAGATTAAGGATATGGGCGGCAGTCTCTAAGGCATACCCCCAGAATGAGATTGGTAGCGAAGCTCGACTCATCATGGAACGAACCATGTCCAACAAGGTTCGATTACGCCTCTCAGCCACACCATTCAACTGCGGTGTCCTGGGAGGTGTCAATTGTGAGACAATCCCACATTCCTTTAGATAGTCGAGGAACTCTGAACTAAGATACTCACCACCTCGATCGGATCGAAGCATCTTAATGTTCCTGCCCAATTGATTCTCGA